CAGCCAAAAAAATCAAAGACCAGGAACCGACTTTTATCTTGATAGCCAAATTATAGTAATAACAATAGAAGAGAGAACAACAGGATGTAAACGTCACATATGAACAGTTATTCTGATAACTATAGCATAAACAACAGAACATAAGTTTACCAAACTTTCAATCTCATTCCAAATCATTAAATCCATTGAATTCTTCATCTTCAGTGTCACTTCTGAGCAACTTGGTGACCTCCGGAGGTAAACGGAGCGGCACTTCCTCTTCTGCATAGCTGTCATCAGACTCAGCATCAGTTCCAGTCAGAATTATTCTGGCCTTTCTGAATCCCAAAAGCATAGTTTCAGTTGTCACTGAAGTCCAGGCTTTGTCAATCCATTCAATGACTTCCAGGAAAGTTACATTGCACACCCTCCCAATTGCTGTGAAGCTGTGTTCTTACTCACTCCAAACTTTCTTTCTGCTACTCAATTACCATTTTCGGCTGAATATTTCACTACTTGCAGCAGGACAGTGGCTTCGCAGTAGAGTGAAGTGACAGTGGTACAGGAGAAGCAGATACTGACCACAAGCCTAGAGCCTCTCGCGGCTGTCAGTTTAAAAATTTTAATATACACGTCGCACCGGACTGTAAGTCGCAGGACCACCCAAACCATGAAAAAAAGTGTGACTTATAGTCCAAAAAATGCAGTAATCACCATAAACCAATTGAGATTTTAAGATGCTAACTACTCAGTTTACCAACATTACACTAAATTTTAAAGTATAGAAACTACTGTAAGACTATACTTTGTTTAATTTATCTACCAATAGTGATCCAATTCCACAGTTTTCCTCCAGACTTGTTGACTTTTATTTGTAAACTTTTATTTAACTTTTATTTGTATTTGTTATTTCAGCTACACCAGACAAACTATGCAAGCTCTAATTATAGTTCTGTGTGGGGCCCCTTCTATTCCCCCATTGAAAACGCATTAGACAAAGGCCAAAGAGCAATTAGAAGGTGAAATGGCTTGTTATAGAGCTAAACACATTCAATACTAATCTAATCTCTCTGTCATAGTCTGTGACCATTCACATTCACTCGTCTCATTATAGGACACTCAGCTTGGGTTCATGAGATTGTTTTGATGGCTGTGTGAATCTTCTCACGACTTCATTTTTAATAATCTGTCAGAGCTACATGTTTAGGAGAAGAGGTGGGAAATATGACTATTGACAATATTGTGATTGTTGTATTGAAGATATGCTAAATTTGAATATCTCATAGTATAATTTCTACAAAAAAAAAAGTCTCAAAACAGAAATTGATCAAACTTGTGTTGTAATCTTTCATACATAACGTGTATAAAATGATATGTCTGCACCTTTGTGGGTCATTTTACTGTCAATTCACGCGACATGTACGGACATTGGTCTTGGCTACAAATGACTATCCTGATTCATCAGCCGGTTTCACTTCATAAAAACTGTCTGACCTTGCAGCATTAGGATTTGTTCGCTCGGCAGTAGGCGGGTACTTTTTTAATTTAATCAATCTCTGCTATTTGGTTGTGGCGTAATGCACCGAAACGCTCAGTGGTGTCCAAGTAATTGCCGGCACAACAGCAAACAAAGCAGAGCGTGAACATGTCTGTCACTGATCATTGTCATTTCTGAATGGTAAACTAATGAATTAAAGGTTCAATAAAAAATGTGAAGTTTGTATTTGACAAAATACATAAAAAAATTGACAAAAGGAGGATAGTGTATGTAGTCTGCTATCGCAACATATGTTGGTTCAGCTCTTCACTGTTTGGCCAATGCACGGTCTACAACTTCCGGGGTTCTTGCAAACCATCTAGTGTATTCTGATTCCTGACCTAATCGCTGGAGAGAAATGAAATTGAGTGGAGGCACTAGGTGATGCCAGGCCACAAATGACTGCTTATGAGAAAGAAATAAAGCAAAAAAAGACAAGAGACTGATTTTTGTTTTTTTAAATTGATTTATTTATTTTGGGCAAGTAAACATTTTGTACTCTTTCAATGAAATAAAATATCCATACTGATAACAACAACAAAAAACAAACAAAAGGAGTGGGAACAAGAAAATGTTTAATCCCACCCCCATCTTCTAATTTAATATAATGAGCTTTCTTTTGCATGCTTCAGACATTTTACATCAAACCATTTGGACGATTCACACATGAGGACAATGAGTAAGTGTTATATCTTGGTAACCTCTGCTGAATCAATGAGCAAATCAGTAAAAGATTTTATTCAAAAATCTGGGTGACCAATGAGCTCCCTCGTTTCACATGCACCACTGAAAGAAAACAAATCTGATTTCACAATCGTGTTTAGTTCTGGCTCAAGACACGATGAGGACGTGGGGCCAGACTGTTATCTCTCTGTGTTTTTATAAGACAGAAATCAGGCGACATATCAGACCATCCCACACTTCTATCAATAATCTTTCATTAGATTTAGTCACAGTTGGTTGCAGTATTAGCTCTGGCCTTGTTTCTGATTTGCCCTGATCCTTGCTTTGGCTCGTCATGTCCTCCAACTGCTCCTTAGTCTGGTCATGTAACAAACTTTTGCATCTTTGTATAAATGTTAAAACCAAATGAACTAAGTGCCTTCCTGTGTGTAAAAGCACGCACACACAAATTGCCAAAGTGTAAACACCTTTGTCTATTTCAACGCTCAATTTCTCATTACCCCCTCTCGCCTCCATCGTAAAGCTTTCATATTCTGAGCTATTATTAAACAAATTACTATATCTATCAGAATCTAATTTGTCTTTGAGTTGGAAAAACAGATTGTAAATGATTTGTTAGTGTCTCATATTGCGTGCACATTTATTAAAGAGGTTCATTATTGTCTCAGCAATGGTGTATTCTGGACACAGGCGTTTTAGCTAACAAGCCTGTGCAGCTGACCAAACACCACTCTGGCTGAATTAAACATGAGGCCCGTGACGCACCGTAATGGCCCTGATCCAGACAAGGGCCACATCATTAAGAGATTGTTCAAAATGTTTAAAAATTTGATATTTTATTTATTTGTTGGAGTTTTTTGTGTGTATTTAGAGGAAAAATGTTGACTTTGTAGCAGTAGAGAGGACATTGCTTCAGTACTTCTAAATAGATGTTGTTGTTAATACAATATTTTTGTATAACCTGCTGTAGTACTTTTTGGTAATAGGCTCTGTGCACAGCGGCAACTAGCAGCCACACTGTTAGGGTCAGTACTTCCTGTCCAATTTTATCTCTATGTGCTTTTTCAGAGACATGCTAAAATTATTAAATATTTAAAGAGGAAGCTGCGGGTTGATGCTGATGCTAATGTTAAAAACTACACAGATAAAATACTTCTGAGTTTACAAAGGGAGACTTTTGTATCTCAGTGCTAATGTGAAGGCTAATTTTGAGGCATAATAAATATTAATTAACGCCGAAAATTTAAGTCAGGCACATTTAAAACTAATTGGGTTGTCATTATTTTTATGAATTTGAATTTTAATCAGTTGTCTATTTTATATTTTACAATTATATTAAAAGTGACAGTGCCATTGAATCACTTGTGAAGCTTTGTGAGGGGACAGACTGTCACTATTGGAGTACACAAAAAGTAATTGAATTTTGTTGGTTGCAAAATAGTTTAATAAAGTATTACAGTAATAATTACCCCAACAGAAGAGCAATAGTAGAGGTTGATGTGGCTCATGGTTCTGTGGGGAAATGAATTGAACAGGATAAGTATGTTTTATGGTTTGCAAAATATGACATTTAAATTGAAACTGCAATGTGAATTGGCATAAAAACAACAAATTCTGCAAATATTTAAAGGTACGCTATGTGACTTTTCTAGTGAAGGGTAGTCCACCTGCTTATTTACACAGGGATGGTGTTGCTTTGCTCGGAATATTCCACACTATGGCTTTAAACTTACACAAGCATAATTAAATAGTGTAGGCCTGTCACTGTAACAAATTTAGAAGCACTATATATTGCTACGCTAAATGATAATATTCAAACTTCTTCACACCGCTGACACAAAAGCAGGAAAATCTGAGTAAAACCATTTTAAATATGTTGTATCATTAAAAAATAAAAGCCATTGTTTATTTAAGTTATTTATTCTATCTTCCACAGTGCAAATCTTACATTATTACACAAAATGGGAAAAATATTGTTACCTGACCAGCCAACTTTGACAAAATGTTACAAAGACAAGTGGGTCTAGAGCCTATCCTGTCTCCCCGATTTCAGAGACTGTGATTGACAGGTGGATTAACCAATCTGAGAGAGTCAGTGTAGTGTAGAGTTTAACTCCAGAGTTGGCCACTTTAACTGTGAGGGCTGTGTGGCTTTAGCTTGACTCCTGTGTCTAAGACGAAAACCGAAAGATTCAATGTTCAAACTTACAGACTATTGATTATGAGGTTTAATTGTAGATGCAGATTCCATAACTGAAGATTACACAATATATCCAGATCACACGGTCAAAAAACTGTATGGCCACAACCCCCTACAGCTTCCACACAAAGAATAATCAGGCCACAAAGGCCACCTGGCTATGAGCCACCAGGCCCCACCCCCAAGGCTCCACCCCAAACACCCTGAACCAATGTGGGACAAAAATGGCCGTAACAATCAGTTTGCGTCAAAAACAGAGCAGATTTTTTCCAAAACAACAACTGAAGTGTCAAACTGTTACGTATGTCAGGTAAAAGTTAGATTTTTTGTTCTGACTGTTACAGGAATTGAAGAGGAGACACGTGTTACAAATTAGAGACTGTGGTTGGATCTTCTCATGATCTAGATTCAATCAGAACATAGAACTGGCTTGTCAATCAAAAGAAATTGTATGCACGAGAAATATTGAGCTCCAAAATATATTGTTCCAGCTTTCAAATACTGAAATTGATATAGTAATTATTGTGACTGCTCTAACATGGTACAAATTTAATTTTAAGTATAAAAGTCTAAAACCCTTAATCTTTGTTTCTGTTGTAGGAAGTTCCGCTGCACGAGAAACTACATCCACATAAACCTGTTTTCCTCCTTCATCCTGAGAGCCAGCGCCGTCTTCATCAAAGACACTGTGCTTTTCGCTGACGAGACGCTGGACCACTGCTCCATGTCCACGGTGAGAATGCTAATAAGCTGCTATCGTTACCCATGGTTCATTAGTTTAGCAGTAACGGTAGTGGTAATTATAGTACCTGCAATTTTGGTAGCCAGTCAATATTTGTCTATTCAGTTATGTTGTAGTAATAAGAATGGGATAATTAATTACCTTTATATGACAGTGATGGATTCAGTAGCAGTAGAGTAAGTAATAATGGTATTAGTTATAGTATTTAAATAATATTTAGGTGAGTCAACTATAATGATGATAGGAGATAGAATGATAGAGGAAAAATATTGACTTTGTAGCAGTATGAGAGGGGGGCGTTGCTTTTATACCTCCAAACAGATGTTAATTACAATACAATATTGTTTGTGTACCCTGCTTTATTGCTTTTTGGTAACTGAATAACTTGTGAAGCCCAACATGCTGTTAATACTGATGCACAAAATATAATTGAATTTTGTTGGTTGCAATATACAGTAGCTGTATCAACAATAAAATAAGTGTTACATGTATGTTGTATTTACCCCAACATAAGACCAATAGGAAAGGTTGAGGTGGCTCATGGTTCTGCTGCTGTGATGAAGTGCTGTGGGGGAATGAATGGTGTGTGTTTTATGGCTGCAAACTATATCACATTTATATCGCAAATATTTAAAGGTGCACTATGTAACTTCTCTGGTGAAGCGTACCGCACCTGCTTGTCTCCATGGAGATGGTGTCACTTTGTTTAGATGTTCGAAACTATAGCATTCACCTTACACCAGTTACTTGCATAATAAGTCACGATAAATACTATATCGACTCAATACATGAGAGAAGGAAAAATATTTTGGGGGGGTCAATATTTATTGTGAGTGTGTTTTCTTTGCACTCAAAGGATTTTTTTTCTTCTGTACTATTTGATTTGAGTTGTAGGGTTGAATTATGAACTTCTATGACTCATTATAGATACAAACCATGTAATTCTGTTTTTTAAATTTTATTTTATAGATTGCTGTTTCTGTTTTTAACAATATTACACATTTTGGAGTATCGTTCTGCTTAATGGTTTGGCTTTAGTATTATTGTTGTTCTATTATTTGTTTATTGTTTATTGTTCGCCTATATGCATTTTTTATATATATTTCACAATTTGTTATCGTGACAGGCCTAAATCATGGTTGTACATTAATATTAGTTGCAGTTTTATCGCTATTAAAGCTGCACTATGTAACTTTTTGTCACATAGTGCATACATAGTGGGGATCCATCACCTGGTTATTTCTATGGATATGTCATCGCTCTGCCTGGTCATTTTAAACAGACCTACTTTACATGTATTCAATTACAGATGGTTTTATAGCTCAAAAATACCTAAAAACAGACATTCTGACTGTGGGTGGGGTCGCCTCTCCACTGATCTGACCAGTAAATTGGCCTGGTTTGGTCTCCGGTGATGATAGAAAGGTTTAATGAAAGGTTTAACTTGTGAAACATTTCAGACAAGGCAATAATATCTCCATGGAATAAATCAGGCAGCAAATTCTTCACCATAAAAGTTACGCAATGCATATTTTAGAGCAATAGTAGTAATACCAGTATTTTTGGAGTAGACAACTTCTGACGCTCTGTATTACTGTGTGCAAGGCTGTACTCAAGATTTTCTAAAGCACTAAGGTTGGAATTAATTTGACATAAGTGCAGTTCCGATTCTGTTTTATTTCTCTGTCTGGGTTTCTCCTCTTTCCTCCCATCCCCACAGACACACACACAAACACACACACGCATGCTTTACCTGCACAAACAAAATCTAGAAACGTCTGGGCTTGTTGTATATAAAAATAATCCACTTGCACAAACAAACTCTAATTACTGCTGGGCTTTGTTTTGGTAGACTTGGCTTGAATAAAAACACAGAGGTCAGGAGCTGATAGACCTCGATACTGCGTGCTGCCATGATTGAAACTGTGCCTATATGCTAATCAGCTGCTAAGGTCAGCTGTCCTGCGGTCTATTGAGTTAGCGGTGGAGTGAACAGGAAGAGGGAGAGGACGGGGGAAGATGTGTGAACAGTGAAGAATGGTTCCTGTCAAGGCATGTGATTATAAAGCCGCAATTTGGTGTATAACTAGTTTACTGGCAACTTTGTTTACATAAAGAGAGATATCCCTGGAAAACAAGATCTATGACGATGCCTGGAGGGAAATTGAATCAAAGTATGCTTGAAGTAAAGACCCACATTATTTCTAACAAATGGATCAGAAACTCAAGAAAATGCTTTAAAAGGGCTCATATTATGCTATTTTCTAGGGATGTAACGATACCCAAATCTCACGGTATAATATTATCTCGATATGCCTTTCACGGTACGATAATTATTACGATATTTTTAGAAATTGTACATATGAAATTTTTTCCTTTTTAAATACCTTCAATGTGAACCATTACTCACATATTCCAATGATATAAGATTTAAAAGTGCTTAATAAAAGTTATTTTTATTATGTAGTAAAGTAAGCAAAGGATTTTGGTTTATGCAGTTCCCTCTATTTAATATGTTAAAGTGAAAAACCTTGCAATTCGATATATTGTGATGAACCACAATATTATTGTGAGAGTTCTGACGATACGATATGATACCATGATGTTTCGTTTATCGTTATATCCCTACTATTTGCTGATCTATGTTATAATTTTGTTTCCTCATCAAAAACATACCTGGAATTGTGTTTTTTTTCACATATTCACACATGTTTAACACACAAACCCTGCTTATTTAGCAAGGTTTGATCTCAGCTTTGGTGGGGACATTTTCAGCTCTTTTGTCTGCTGTATGTTTTATGAATTCTTTCCAAAAACACACAGAGTCTGGGCAGGTCCAAAATATGTGAGAGGTTGTTTAATTTTTCAGTTCACAAAATGTACAGTTTGTGTCCATTGCCCTTCTAAGATGATTCTTTAGCAGATAACAACAATGTAGAAGTTTGTAGCAGATTTCCCTTTGCTTGTTGTTCATGAGATATTTGTGAGGTCATGTCTGCACATTTTTCCATGGAATATTGTCAGTAGAGTCGGGCAGCTAACAGCGCACGAGTAGGGATCCGTTTGGGAGGTGCACTTGTGGCGATAGTCTTTCTTTTTCCATGGCGACTCATTATAAGGTAAGTTTAATTGAAGATGAAGCCAAGTAAGTTCCTTTTGAAAAGTAAGGAATGAATGTATATTTTTGTTTCTTAAAATAAAATGGCAAATACTGGTAGCGACTATTTTGTCTTCCCCAAATATTGGTTGTAACGTGTCCCCATGGTCCCTTTGTAAACCTACACCCTTGATATTTAGGCTGAGTTCTTCTCTCAAACAGAAAACACTTCATACACCTTCACTAGAATAATTTGGATAATTTCAGCTCTGGAGTCGCCAATCTCTACTTAACTAAAGGTAAAAGGAGCTGTTAATTTGAAAACTACCACTATATGACGTCACAAGGTGGTACAAAGCATTTTGAGTTTTGGAGATATAGACGGACTGACTTACTCAAACATGTGTTCATGAAGCAAAACACAATTCCAGGTATGTTTTTGAGGAGGTAACAACATTATATCATGATTTATAGCTCACAGGAATGAATCTGGGTAATATACGATCTTTAATATTGTTGATGTAAAGCTCTTTTGTCACTTATAGATGTTACCATGCTGCACTGTAACTTGATTCATTCAGACTTATGATTCACAAATAATGAATCTTATCATTACTTGTTTGGGATTGAGTTAACAAACTTCAAATATTAATCTTATGACTTCAGCTGATAACAATCACAATATTGACATCACTGTCTGAAGCTACTGTGAAAAAATAATGCAACTTGTGTCATTTTAACTGACAGAGACACTGAACTCTGTGCCTGTTTTTGTTTCATGTAATTACCAAGATATTAACCATAAAACAGGTAAACAAATCTGGAATCTGACAATTTAACAGAAAATGCTACCATATTTTTTTGGTTTGTAGTCCAGGTCAGTTTTCAAGAATGTTTTGATGTCATGTGGGCATTTTTTGTAACCTTTTATTTTTTTTTTTTTTTACATACTAACTATTGTACTGCTACTCACAACACAATCAACTGAGTAGTAATGATTGGTAAAAATAGGTGCACAATAAGATGCGTACCTAAACTATGCCATCTTGTTGACTTCACCTCCTTCTCACTCTACAATGCTGCACAGAATAAATATAGGACATTTCTCAGCAGTGCACTGTATAACCCATTTTCATGTATTATAAGCACAAATTTACCACCACACTAAGTCTAATCTTTCAATGTGTGTGTAGGTTAGCTGACCCCATTTTCATCAAATTAAACGTAAAGAGCTTTTGTTGCAGTGGATAGTCAGGTCAAAAGTGTACCAATATTTTAAAACAGAGGAAGAAAACAAAATCTGAACACACCAAATAGAATAGTCTCGGGCAAGGCCGTCCAACAGTTGTTAAAACACAAAACTGGCAAACCAATAATGTGAAGGTTATTACAAGATGAAATGTGTTTGACTTTAGGGGGACGATAGGCAAAGGTTAATGCTTCCTGCTACACTTTAGACAAAGTAGTTCAAAGCACTGCTAATTAAATAGATAGTAGTCCTCATTTGGCCTTGACGCTGTAGCCCCTTCCTGTTTCTTAGTCATTGTAGTGCTCATTGTAGTGCTCCGGGCAGTCTATTGAAATTATCCTAAAAGAAATGTCATTTTAAAGTGTATTTTAAAGTGAAATGCTATGTTTTTTCTTCACTCGTTTGTTCACTTTTATTTCCTCTTCTGTTGAAATGTATCTTCCCATTCAGTGCTCTGCTATGAATGTCAAGATTATTCCGTTAATTAATGTTGTGGTCAGAGGTGGGGACTTGCAAGTCGTGACTTGGACTCGAGTCAGACTTGAGTTACTATTTTTAGAACTTGAGACTCGACTTGATAAAATGTATTAAAACTTCGGACTTGACTTGGAATTGAATATCAATGACTTGGTGCTTGACTTGGAC